ATTATTGAATGATGTGTGGTGGGATAAGATTGATTACATTTTGTCTTTTACATTGCCTATCTATGAGATGCTTAGGTTTTGTGACATTGACAAACTATGCCTTCACTTAGTCTATGAAATGTGGGACACCATGATTGAAAAGGTGAAGGCAAGCATCTTTAGGCATGAAGGGAAGCTAGTTCATGAGGAATCAATCTTTTATTCCGTTGTGCACAATATACTAGTTGAGAGGTGGGCCAAAAGTAACACTCCTTTTCATTGCCTTGCACATTCTTTGAATCCGAGGTAATAACTTAATTCATACTCTTACTAATTAGATTTCTTTGTTGACATTTGTCTTTTAATATGAATAACATAATTTAATTTTGAAACTTTCTAATGTTGTAATCTAGGAATTATAGTTCAACGTGGCACAATGAAAATCCCAATTGTGTCCCTCCTCATAGGGATGAAGAAAATTCAAGTATGAGAAACAAGTGCTTTAAGAAATACTTTCCAAATTTAGAGGAGAAAAGTGTTGTAAATGTGGAGTATGCCAAGCTTTCAGGAGGTTTGGATATGTTTGGAGATTTTGACTCAAAGATTGATAGAGGAGTATTGGATCCACTTATTTGGTGGTTTACACATGGGTCTCTTGCTCCTATGCTTCAATCTTTAGCATTAAAATTGCTTGGCCAGCCATGTTCCTCATCATGCTGTGAAAGGAATTGGAGCAACTACTTCTTTATTCACTCCATGAAAAGAAACAAAATGACACCACAACATGCTGAAGATTTGGTTTTTGTGCACAACAATCTTCCTCTCTTATCAAGGAGAAGTCGACAGTACATTGAATGAGAAACCAAGTTATGGGATGTTGGTGGAGATGCTTTTGATTCATTGGAGGGTGCAGGCTTACTTGAAATTGCAAGTCTTTCTCTTGATGAACTAGATATGGAAGCTGTGATATTCACTGATGAAGGGGAACAAGTTGAAGCTATTGACCTTGAAGACTCTTAGCTTTATAGGAATCTTTCTTTTTTTATCAAATTGTCTTTTGCTTTAAGTTTTATTTTTATGTATGCGACATTACTAAAAATTGTAAAAAAAATATTTTTTATGAACGTATCCCCGTCGTATCTGTATCCTACTTTTTCAAATTTTGTCGTATCGCCATATCCGTGTCGTATCGTACCCATATTCCGTATCTGTATCCGTACTTCCTAGGGCATCATATGTATTCCATTTGTGAAGATTGGAGACCAACTAGCCGATGTTCTTACCAAGGGGCTAGGGAAACCATTTCATAGCATTCTCAACAAGCTGGATATGAGAGATATCTTCACACCAGCTTGAGGGGGAGTGTTAGAATAGGAAATGTATGATTGTATTTTCTTCTTCTTTATTCCCTTGATTGGTGTAATGGGTTGACCCATATATTATGCCTTATGGCACTCCTGTAATTACTCAGTATTAATAATATAAAAGGGAATGAAGTCTACCTCATTCTCTAACTCTTTCTTTTCTCTAAACCTACATAAGTTTGTACTAATGCTTAGGCTACTTAATTTTGATTAGGGTTAATTAATCTTGATTAAGTCCACTAACCATGTTTAATTACCACTAATCCCGATTAATTTTTCTGCGTGTGACGATAATATATCACACACAAAATGATAGGCTTTCTTTCATGCCTTTAAATTTTATTTCATTTCATTTCACCTCAAAGAAGCATGCATACATAACAATTCAAAACTATAGTCATTTCATAACAAAACGTTTAGGTATATTCTATTGGAGGAATAATGTTTGTAAACCGTGTTTCAAGGATTCATCGAAACATGTCTCCAATCTTTCACATGACAAAGGTTATCAACCTAACTCTAAGCACTCAAGTATCGAATACGAATATGTATATGTTGTGTAATAACACTTAGCGTGTGACAATGTCTCAAAGAATTAGCAAAGCATGCTTTCAAACATTTCCATATAACAACGGAATAAAATTTAACTCCAGGCATTGAAGCATTAAAAATAGAGAAAATTGCTTTTATGAAGGAGCTGCACAAAGTAATTGCACTTTTATGGCGGTTCAAGTTGGAGCAAGTGAGAGTTGTCCCTTGCCACAACTTTCACTTGCATAAACACAACTTTCACTTGCATAAACACATGCTCACTTGCACCTCCATGAAAGTGGAATTATTTTAAGTTGTTTCCTTGTAAATGCATTTTTCCCTTAAAAATGATAGATATGCACATGTTATCCAAATGGATACACCTACGCCACATTTGATTGCCAAACTATTTTTTATGGGATTAGATATAATGGGATTATTAATAGGATTGTGAGGCATAAGTTATACCATGCGTTTAATGGAGAATTGAATATGTGATAGGATTATGGGGAATAAGTTGTACCATAGAATAATAAATGGGATAAATGATTGGATAGGAGTGATGCATTATATTTGGTTAGGATGTGATGAAAAGACGTAATTGTTTTTAACCTTTAGATGAAGGAAAAAAATAATTCGGAGAGGCCTAATTACCGCAATACCTATGGTATTTTTTAATCTCCCATTTTTCTCTATTTAATCCTCCATACCAATACTAAATTTATCTGGAATTTAGTACCATGCAAAACAAACAACGGATTGTACTATATTGTGGGACCCACATGTTCCCCACCTTCAATTGCTTCTTCCTTATCTTGCAATCAAACACAGGATTAAAAATCCGATAGGTACCACATGTTTCCTTCACTTTCAATCCCCACTTTAATACCCAAAACAAATGTGCCCCTAGTGTGTTACATCCTTCTCCCCTTGAAAAGTTTGGTCCTCCAAACTTAACTTACCTCATGGTTCAAAAAGAAAAAAGAATATTTCTCCCTCATTTCATCTTCCCTTTCTCAGTAGCTTATGTTTTGAAATGATGTTGCCATTTCACTTTAACCAATGAAATAAGCTTCTCATTACCTTCTTGCAGTGATGAAGAATTTGAATTGACCTTTCTTTGTATTCCAAATCCTCTATGATCGTTCGTTGATAATCCAACACATGAAACAAATCTTTCAGATAGTTTCTCAACATAGAAATATAAACACATTATGTACTTGCGCAATTCAAGTGGTAATGCCAGCCAATAAGCAACTACGCTAATATTTTTAGTATTTCAAATGGTCTAATGTAATAGGGTGACAACTTACCTTTCTTCCAGAATTGAGTCACACCTTTAAGAGGAAATATTTTAAGAAAAACATGATCTCCAACTTAAAATTCCAAATTCCTTCTTTCATCAGCTCAATTCTTCTGACAACTTTGTGTAGTCTTAAGTTGTTGCTAAATCCCTTTTGTCTTTTCAATTGCATCTTGGACAATCTCTGGCCCCAATAATTTCTCATTTTCCACCTTGGTCCAACACTCTAGTGATCTACATTTTCTACCATACAAAGCTTCATATGGTACCATCCTGATAGATCACCTCTAAGAGAACTGTGCATGTTCAAGCACTCAACCAGTAATAGCTTTGTAGTCCAATAGTTGTACTCGAAGGCCTTCATTTCCTTATAAAAGCAAACTCTCCAAATTTATGATCAGCCTCTCCTTCAATGATCTTGCAAAGAACATGAGTTCTTCAGTAGTAAATTCCTACAGGGCAATCAATGAATTCCAGTGAAATCATATCTATCTTTTTTTTAAATCCCTTGCCTACCTAATTTAAATTATATGTTTAATCCATGAATAGGTGAATTAATTGAAGTCTATTGCTTAATTCTTTTAGTTAGATCAAGGGAGGCCCACTTGCACCTTAGTTTTTACACACTTTTGGGCACTAAGCATTGGGCCCATGTCTTTAATTATGGGGCTTTTGACTTGTCTTTTAATTCGGTAGAACACATTTGGACTGTTCTTTTATATTTTTTAACCAAACACATTTAGGCCAATTTTTTTCCCTCTTCTTTTTTCATTTTAATTTGAATAAAGGTACAATAGGAAGGTGTTAGAAAGTTCCTCCTCCTCCTTTTTGTTTGGTCATCCATCCATGGCCAGTGCCACATAGGCCTTGTACTTTGTGTCATACACTTTACGTATATATGGTATGCAAGATTTTGGCTTTTCTCTCTCTTTCCTTTCTTTGGCCAATAGCAAGTGAACAAGTGTCCAAGCTAGGAAGACCAAGTGGTTAAGTCTTAAACTTTTAGTTTTGAATATATCCATTTTCACACACACACACACGTAAGAGACAGAGAGAGAGCCAAAACTTTCCACCCCCTCCCCCACAGTGATTTTCTTCAATTCTTACTCCATTATTACAAGAACCAAACCTTTATGTGATACCCCAACCTGAAACACTTAACCTATTACTTGGAGCAGTGATGCATTAGGAGACCATTTGGGTGGAGCTTCAAGTCTCTTGAAGCTCAAGAACTTGGTGGAGTTCTTCTCAAGTTGGAGGAGTTCTTCATCTCTCATTACCTCTCTTCATTTGTCATCTCATCTTTCGTATTTAAAGCTTCAAGAGGTGGGGTTTCAACTAGTTACTCCAAATGTATTAGGTGCCATGTTTAGGATTATTTGTTTTTCTTTGAAAAGCACATTACATGATTCGAGTTTCTAAAAGTGCTTTTCTAGTTTGTTTGTCAGGATGAGAATGGTTGATTGAAGTAACTATTGTTCATTTTAAAGTTCTTGAAATATACAAATAACCTAGGGTTTCTTGAAATATTTTTGTTGCGAGAAAATTTCATCAAATCCTTGTCTCAACTTTGATGTAAGACTAATGCAACTTCATATATGTTGCTCTTATGTATTTCGATATGTACTTTGCCACACTCTCCAACATGACACCTCTGATGTATACTTGAATTTCTTGTTTCATTGATGGTGGTATGTATGTTTTCCCTTTCTGATTTTACATGTTTGTTGTCCTTGATTTGATTGTAAGATGTTTGACAAATTCTTATTATTGCAAGTTGTAAAAGTAACTATTTAAATTTCTTTCTAATGATTATTTTGTAGAGAGTAAATCAATGTCTTCGAAATGCTTGTCGTGACTCTGGAATGAAAAGTTGTACGAAATTCATTGATTGCGGTCACGGGAATAATATTGGGAGTTTTAAATCAGATGCAACATGGACTAACTGGACGAACAACGATAACGCAACTGCTTGTTTTAATGGAGGATTCTCTTATGGAATTTATGTGCAGGCTGTCAATCTCACTACAGAACAAAGTATCATCACCAGATATATTTATTCATTCTTTTGGGGCTTCCAGGTATACTTTTATATATTTCTTTCCAAATTTTTTTTTTTTTATAATTTTTTTTGCGTTTAAATGACCAATTTATTCATGTTAATATAATTATGAAGGATACGTGATGCATGTTAAGCAGAAGTTTAGTCGTGACATTGCTTTAAACATCTGAAAAAAAATTTGTACAAGGCAAGATTCATGAAAACAAATCCAGTGCAACTTCATAATCTTAAAATCCACTACAGTACTGTTAAGCCGGAGTCACCCCTCATGATATTTTGCTTTGAAGGGTTTGAATTCAGGAAGTTTGGTTGTCCAAAGCTTGTTAAATATATGACAGTTTTTTACTCATTCTTATGGCAATTTGCATCATACTTTGTTTCTTTTTTTCTTTTTTTAATAATAAGAAGAAAACATAGTGAAAGTTGTTGGTAGCATGTTTTCTGTATTGTCTTTTTCTTCTATTTTTTCTCTGAACTGTTTGAATATTTTTTTATAGACAATATGAAGTCAACAAATTCTTGGTAGCCGAACTATCTAAGTCGACTAACATTGATCAACCATGCTTGTAATCAACATAAGGACATTATAAATGTTTTACGTTGTGGCCAAACCATGGACAACCATGAATTAGGTTCTGTTGCATCCTGTATTAAGGTATTATTCCTAGAAGAAGTGGATATACAAGTTCACTCTGATGCCACTTGTTTCAATCAATACTCTACTTTTTGTTAGAATTTATTGAATTGTTATATCCTTGTAAATGTGTTATACATATATTCTTTTTAGAAAGTAAGATTAATTAAGAAAATATGATTAACAGTGTTATTTATTTATTTTTTAGATTGGATATTTCAACAGTTAAACAAGCAAATAAATTTGTATATCACACATTCAAGTATGAAGGGGCAAAGTTGAAGGGTAATAAAAACAATTTTAGACTTGATATTGAAATGAATTTTTTGTAGAACATACTAAACAATAGTAAAGTGGTTGACCAATAGCTCTGAAACTAATATTTAATTCCTAAAGAATGGAAAACAGTAAAGTGGTTGACAATGGTCTTGTCACCATTTGAGCTTATATATAATATAATACTAAAAATTATCATGAAAAAATATATTTTTTTTATGAAAGTACCCTGGCTATAACTGCATCTTATTTTTTTAGGTTTTGTCATATCGATGTATCCGTTTTGTATCATAAATGTATCCTATATCTGTATCCGTATCTGTATCCATATCCATGCTTTATAGCTTGAGATAATTCAGATTCTACACTATGAAGGATAGTCTTTTGTATCATTACTAAATAATTAAGGGTTTCTAATTTTTTGTTTATTTATTAGTATTATTGTAACACCAATTTTACATGTTTTTTAACACCTTTTATCCGCTTTGGGATTTCAAAAGCAAATCAGTACACTGGCTGGAAATCAAATACCAAGTTATTTTGTTTGGGAGATCCTTTTCACTACAGCCATTATTGGCCTGGGGCTGTTGCTTTTTGCTCTTCTTATTGGAAACATGCAGAACTTTCTCCAGGCTCTTGGACGCAGGTATGACTTCTCACTGTGACAATCTTTTGTAGTTATACTTTTGTACATGCAATGACCATTGATAGGTTTGATAGGCACACAGTCTGCGGTGTGTTGAATTTTGTTAATTGTTATTAAGAATATTTTCAGTGTTCAATATTTCTTTTTAGTAAGCCTTCAAAAAATTATTGATGACACAACTGAGACTAGAGAACTTTGCACTGACATGATTTGGTTTTTTTGATTGGCAACAAAAAGAAATTTATTAAAAAAGTGAACAAGTACAAGAGGGGGACAAGAAGTCCACCTAAATCAAGAGAAGAGAAAAAAACAGGAAGGAAAAAGTTAGGGTAAATTACACTTACCTCCCCTAAGGTTTATGAAATGACTTAAACCTCCATTGAGGTTTGATTTTCAATTGCACTGATCTCCCATGAGATTTAATGAATTGTATAAACTTTTTCTAAAGTTTTTGAAATGCTAGAAACCTTCTTTGAGGTTTAGTTTTTAATTACACTTATCTCCCCTGAGGTTTAATGAAAAATTGCAAAAACCTCCTTTAAGTTTTCTAAAATGACAGAAGCTTCTCATGAGGTTTAGTTTATTATTATAATTTTTTTCTTTTGTTTCTTTATCATAAAAAAATAACAAAAAATGTTGACATCATTAAATAATTTAATTATATTTTTGATTTACCCTTTAAAACTATGTTGAATTACAAATAAATAAAAATATAAAATTTTTATTTTCTCTCTTTATTATGCCTATAATTACGGTTGATATCCTATACATATTTTTTAAATAATGTGTTATTGGTAATTTATTTTTATTTTATTTTACATATATGTGTTTTTTTTATTAATATGTATAATATATACTCATATATATATATGTTATATTTGCAGGTGTTTATATTTTTTTTTATGTAAATATATTATAAAGATTATATATATTAATATTTTTATTTTTTTTATTAATGTTTTTTTATTATATATTTATATGTATATATATGATATATATTAAATAATAATGTGTTAATGTTTTTTTATTTTTTAAATATATATATTTATTTAAAGATTTTATATGTTTTATTATCTTATATATATATATATATTTTACTTATATATTAGGTATATATCGTGAAGGCCAGAAAGAAGGCAAAGGAGACGAAGGCAAAGACAAAGATGAAGGCAGAGGAGACGATCTGCGAGAGAGAAAGAGAGAGAGAGAGAGAGATGATCTGCCAAAGAGAGAGAGAGAGAGAGAGAGACGAACTGCGATAGAGACGAAAAACAGAGAGAGAGAGAGACGACCTTCGAAGTGATAAAAGAAGAAGAAAAACGAAGCAAAGGACATACCAGACACAACCTTCAGGTTCTTCTTCACTTTCTTTCTCCTCTCTCTCTTTGTTGACCAACAAGCTAGGGTTTTTGTTCTTCTTCACCAACGATCCCATCTTGGCCAGGATCGCGTTTCTCTCTACGGAAACGCAATTCCTACACGTTTCTTTCTAAGAAACGCGGAATCGCGTTTCTTATGAAGATTCGTCACCTGTTAGGATGATTCCTACAACTAAGGTATCTTCTATAACGAATCCTCACAGCCTTAGGTTTGTTTATTTTGAGAAGAGAAAAAGTTAGAGGTAAGAGTCCTATCTCATCCCCTTTTATATTAGATCATTAGCAAAATTATAGGAGCTCTCTAGGGCATAAATAAAGATACCAAATATGCATAAGGATGAAATAGGAAACATAGGAAACATTCCTAATACGTTCTTAACACTCCCTCTCAAGCTGGTGCGAAGATATCTCTCATGCCCAGCTTGTTGAGAATATCACGAAATGATTTATTCCCTAATCCTTTGGTGAGAATATCAGCCAGTTGGTCCCCAGACCTCACGAATGGTGTACATGTAGTGCCACTAGTGAGCTTTTCCTTAATAAAATGCTTGTCAATCTCCACATGCTTGGTCCTGTCATGCTGAACTGGATTGTGAGCTATATTGATGGCTACCTTATTGTCATAGTATAGTCTCATCGAATCAGTCCGATGAATCCCCAAATCCTGCAAAAATAATCTAATCCATAATAGCTCACACACACCCTAAGCTATAGCTCTGGATTCAGCCTCTACACTGGACCGTGCAACTACATTCTATTTCTTGTCTCTCCAAGTAACTTGATTTCCTCCAACAAAGGTACAATAGCTAGAGGTTGACCATCTATCAGTGACCAATCCAGCCCAATCAGCATCTGTATATGCCTCCACACTAAGATGACCATATTTGGAGAAATAGAGACTCTTGACAAACTATCTTTGTACCTCAGAATAAGTGAATTGCACGTGGAGCATGCATAAACTAACCATACTCACTGCAATAGCAATGTTAGGATACGAATGAGATAAGTAAATAAGCTTGCCCACCAGTCTCTGGTACCTCCCCCGGTCTACAAGCTTGCTTCCTTGATCCTTACTAAGCTTCAGTCCAAGGCCTAATGGTGTATCACAAGCTTTACTACCAAGCATTCTAGTTTCTTTTAACAAATTAAGCACATATTTTCTTTGACATATGAAGATGCCATCTTTGGACCTAGCAACCTCAATACCTAGAAAGTACTTCAAGTTGCCTAAGTTTTTTATTTCAAACTCATTGGCCAAATACTCCTTTAACCGAAGAACCTCCTTAACATTATCCCCTATAAGTACAATATCATTTACATAGACAATAAAAGCTGTTGTCTTACCATGTGAGGAGTGTTTCACAAACAAAGTATGATCAGCTTGACTCTGTTTGAAACCATATTGCAACATGGCCTGAGCAAATCTCTCAAATCAAATCCCAGGAGACTGTTTAAGTACATAGAGTGACTTGTGTAGGCAGCATTCTTTTCCTTTAGTTTTAACATTCTCAAAGCCTAGGGGAATGTCCATCTGCACTTCTTCTTCCAAATCACCATGGAGGAAAGCATTCTTCACATCAAATTGATGGAGAGGCTAGTCGAGATTAGCGGCAAGGGAGAGGAGGACTCTGACAGAGCTCATCTTAGCAACAAGTGCAAATGTCTCCTGGTAAGTCTACTCCATAAGTTTGCATAAAGCCCTTGGCCACCCATCTTGCCTTGTAACGTTCAATTAAACCATCGGCTTTGTGCTTCACAGTGTACATCCACTTACATCCAACAGGTCGTTTGCCGTTAGGTAACTCAGCCAATTCCCAAGTGTCATTTTTTGCAAGAGCTCTCATCTCCTCCATCACGGCATGTTTCCACTCAGGAGTAGAAAGAGCATCCTGAAAATTAGAAGACTCACAGAAGAAACTTTAGACAAGAAAGCTTTATAGGAAGAAGACAGATTAGTGTAGGATACAAAATGAGAAATAGGATGTTGAGTGCAAGACCTAACCCCCTTCCTATTAGCAATGGGAACATCTAGGTCAGAAATAATAGAGTTACCTGGAGGTTCATTAGTAGAAGAGGATTCTGGACACTCATCAGAAGGAGAAGATAGCAATGGAGAATCTGAATTGGTCTCTTGTACCCAAGTAACTTGTTTTCTATCCTTATCCCTGACATAAACTTTGCTATCTTGCACTGTGGATTCCGATTCAGACTCAACAGTCTCAATGGCTGAGTCACCCTTAACATCTTGCTCAATCACTGATGGTAGTGATACAGGATTTGCTTCACACTAAGGCTTCCCTTGAAAGGATGATTGGGACACCGGTGAGGACAAAAAGTAGGACTGAGACTCAAATAAAGACACATCCATAGAGACAAACCGTTTCCGAGAGGGTGGATGATAACACTTGTAGCCCTTTTGGGTGGCAGAGTAACCCAGGAAGACACACCGAAGAGATTGAGGATCCAACTTACCATGGGTAGGAGAATGGTTATGAACAAAGCACACACATCTAAAGGTTTTGGGAGGAATGGAGAAATTAGAAGATGAGGACCCTAACAAAATCTGAAGAGGAGTGTGTTTGTGGAGAACTTGGGTAGGAAGACGATTGATGAGGAAGGCGGCAGTGAGAATAGCTTTCCCCCAATATGATCGAGGAACACGCATTTCAAAGGAAAAACAACGTGCAATATCAAGAAGATGATGGTTTTTACGCTCGACAATACCATTCTGTTGAGGGGGTATTGGTACAAGAAGTTTGGTGAATAATACCATGAGTAGCAAAGTAGCTGGCAAGGCTAGAGTCAATATATGCCCCCCATTATCAGAATGCAAAACTTTGACAACTGCCGCAAACTGAGTGCAAATCATTTTATGAAATTTTTGAAACACGAAAAAAACCTCACATTTGTCCTTGATAAGATATACCCAGGTGGTCCTAGAACAATCATCAATAAAGGTGACAAACCATCTTTGACACTTTAAAGACATAAAACGAGAGGGACCCCATACATCAGAATGAATCAATGAAAAAGGGATTAAACTTTTATTAATAAAAGGAGCAAAAGAAGCTATGTGTTGTTTTCCAAGTTGACACGACTTACAGTGAAACTCAGAAATATTATTTTTCAAAAAAATTTAAGGAAAAAGATGCTTAAATAACAAAAAAGATGGATGCCCAAGACGACGGTGCCACAGCCATAGGTCTTCCTTGGTAGATGGTAACTGAATGGAGGAATGAGCCAGCTAGTCTACTTGATCCAGGATATAGAGACCGTTCGCGTTTCTACCACTGCCAATCATCTTCCTCGTGATAAGGTCCTGAAATAGACAATGATCATGAAAAAAGGTCACACTACAATTTAAGTCCCAAATAATACGAGTCAAAGATAAAAGATTAACACTAAAATTGGGAACATGTAGAACAGACGACAAAGGAAGGGAAGCAGTGGAATGAATTAAACATTTCCCAAATACAGAAGAAATAGTACCATTAGCAATTCTAACTTTATCCTGTCCTTAAAAAGGAGTATATGCGGAGAACAAATCAGAAGACCCAGACATATGGTCTGAAACACCAGAATCGATAATCCAAGTCAATCTTTGATGCGATAGGAAAGCAC